CGTTTCTGCTGATGATAACGTTTCTGCTGATGATAACGTTACCGCTGATGATAACGTTTCTGCTGATGATAACGTTTCTGCTGATGATAACGTTACCGCTGATGATAACGTTACTGCTGATGATAACGTTTCTGCTGATGATAACGTTACCGCTGATGATAACGTTTCTGCTGATGTTAGGCATCGTTACCGCCTGCAGGGGCAAGTGAAGGCAAGTAATGCTAATCTTCGATGTTCGAAAAACTTTCGCTTCATCAGGAAATCTTAATATGAACATGCATGTCAATCTCGCAAAAGAAGTTAGTAGTCGCAATCATCAGTCGCAATCAATTCAATCGAGAGGTATCATCGGTCGTTATCTAGTCTGCGTTCCGGCTCCGCAAAGAGCCCCCGAGTCTGTGTTTCGGCTCCGCAAATAGCCCGAGTCTGTGTTCCGGCTCCGCAAAAAGCGCCCGAGTCTGCGTTCCGGCTCCGAAAAGAGCGCCCGAGTCTGCGTTCCGGCTCCGCAAAGAGCGCCCGAGTCTGCGTTCCGGATCCGCAAAGAGCGCCCGAGTCTGCGTTCCGGATCCGCAAAGAGCGCCCGAGTCTGGGCACTCGAATCGATTACGCGAAATTTAAATCCAGATAAAAATTGGGCCGAGGTCATTAAGATAGAGGCCTCCAATTACCCCGCAATCTCCATGCAATCACCTGTCCATCGGCCCTTAATCACTCCGTAGTCATCCCGGGATCACCCCCAACCTCGTATTCTTGACATCACCTCGTAGCCGTCCCTTCATCACTCTGCTATCACCTCGTAATTACTCAACGAAATCACCCTGCAGTCACCTAACGGTTACCTAGCAATCACCGAACAGTCACGACAAAAAAAAGACTCAAGCCTTGCATAATTCTTGCACAACCTCGCATGCACATCCGTGGCATCCTGCAAGCTTTAAGCTCATCGTGCTTACAGCTGGTGGCCGCTACTCCAGCTGGCCGCTATGCCTGCTTGTCACGACGCTAATATCCTGATACGTGATCCTAATGCACTGCAGGATACGCGCCTTTTGGGTCGCCCTGTCAGTGTCTGCACGCCATGTTTGTCCAGTCTGCCAATCATAATATTATTGTCTGTTCAGTCTGCCAATTGTTATATTATTGTCTGTTCAGTCTGCCAATTGTTATATTATTGTACGTTCAGTCTGCCAATCATAATATTATTATCTGTTCAGTCTGCCAAACAATCATGAATAAATAACTTGAGGAAGCGATACCTCCATAGTCGCACTTTTTACGATATTATTAACAAACTCAACATTCCATGCTACTACTCAATTGACTAATATCCATACCATCACATTAACTTACAGAAGCATGACTTAATTCTATTGTGATTAATCAAATTTTACCTCAACCACTTATGCCACAAGTGATCCTCTAATTAATTAATGCTGGATATTTAAATGTAATCACTTGAATTCATAGAATCATTCTTACCCTTCATAACATGAGTTTAGAGTACAAATTGTGGCTTTGTTGATCTTTTGTAACATGCATACGTTTGAGGGAAAATTCTTCCGGCACGAACAGTACGTTGTGGCTACATTGCGGCTAAATTCTAGCTTCATTGTCTAATAATATTTCTTGCTACACTGTGGCTAAATTCTAGCTTCATTGTGGCTAAATTCTAGCTTCATTGTGCTAAACTCAAGCTTCATTGTGCTAAATTATAGCTTCATTGTGGCTAAATTCTAGCTTCATTGTGGCTGAATTCTAGCTTCATTGTGGCTGAATTCTAGCTTCATTGTGGCTAAATTCTAGCTTCATTGTGGCTAAATTCTAGCTTCATTGTAGTTAAATTCTAGCTTCATTGTGGCTAAATTCTAGCTTCATTGTGGCTAAATTCTAGCTTCATTGTGCTAAACTCAAGCTTCATTGTGCTAAATTCTAGCTTCATTGTGGCTAAATTCTAGCATCATTGTAGTTAAATTCTAGCTTCATTGTGGCAAAATTCTAGCTTCATTGTGGCTAAATTCTTGCTACATTGTGGCTACAAGTGGATACATTGTGACCACATTGTGGCTACTTTGTGGCTACCGGCTTTAATTTTGGCGAGGCAGGAGGGCTGCACGCGTGTTGGCTGAGCAAGCAAGGGCTGTGAGTACAACACAGCCTCCGAGTGAGATGTGAGGGCATGAATATGATGTTATGTCCTCAAAAATATAACTAAACATAATGTTATGTCCTAACAAACATAACTATACATAATGTTATGTCCTCACAGGCACGACTTAAGCAATAATGTTCTCACTAATATAACATGAAACCCCTCAAATGTGAGGTATTGGCCATATAAATTCTTGACTCGGGACTTGCTGATTCACTTTACCGCGATGCGCTCATCGCACGCTACGTCAACTCCTCGAGCAGTTTTTGCGGCCTCATTGAGCCTCGCTTCTTATTCCATGTGGAAACTCCTGATCGCCGAGGGTAACTCTGTCTCCTGGTGGCCGAGGGTAACTGTCTCCTGATGGCCGAGGGTAACTCTGTCTCCTGATCGCCGAGGGTAACTCTGTCTCCTGATCGCAGATGTGTATAAGAGACAGCCGCAAAGAGCGCCCGAGTCTGCGTTCCGGCTCCGCAAAGAGCGCCCGAGTCTGCGTTCCGGCTCCGCAAAGAGCGCCCGAGTCTGCGTTCCGGCTCCGCAAAGAGCGCCCGAGTCTGCGTTCCGGCTCCGCAAAGAGCGCCCGAGTCTGCGTTCCGGCTCCGCAAAGAGCGCCCGAGTCTGCGTTCCGGCTCCGCAAAGAGCGCCCGAGTCTGCGTTCCGGCTCCGCAAAGAGCGCCCGAGTCTGCGTTCCGGCTCCGCAAAGAGCGCCCGAGTCTGCGTTCCGGCTCCGCAAAGAGCGCCCGAGTCTGCGTTCCGGCTCCGCAAAGAGCGCCCGAGTCTGCGTTCCGGCTCCGCAAAGAGCGCCCGAGTCTGCGTTCCGGCTCCGCAAAGAGCGCCCGAGTCTGCGTTCCGGCTCCGCAAAGAGCGCCCGAGTCTGCGTTCCGGCTCCGCAAAGAGCGCCCGAGTCTGCGTTCCGGCTCCGCAAAGAGCGCCCGAGTCTGCGTTCCGGCTCCGCAAAGAGCGCCCGAGTCTGCGTTCCGGCTCCGCAAAGAGCGCCCGAGTCTGCGTTCCGGCTCCGCAAAGAGCGCCCGAGTCTGCGTTCCGGCTCCGCAAAGAGCGCCCGAGTCTGCGTTCCGGCTCCGCAAAGAGCGCCCGAGTCTGCGTTCCGGCTCCGCAAAGAGCGCCCGAGTCTGCGTTCCGGCTCCGCAAAGAGCGCCCGAGTCTGCGTTCCGGCTCCGCAAAGAGCGCCCGAGTCTGCGTTCCGGCTCCGCAAAGAGCGCCCGAGTCTGCGTTCCGGCTCCGCAAAGAGCGCCCGAGTCTGCGTTCCGGCTCCGCAAAGAGCGCCCGAGTCTGCGTTCCGGCTCCGCAAAGAGCGCCCGAGTCTGCGTTCCGGCTCCGCAAAGAGCGCCCGAGTCTGCGTTCCGGCTCCGCAAAGAGCGCCCGAGTCTGCGTTCCGGCTCCGCAAAGANCTTTATAGGGCGCCCTAGACGCGCTTTATAGGGCGCCCTAGACGCACTTTATAGGGCGCCCTAGACGCGCTTTATAGAGCGCCCTAGACGCACTTTATAGGGCGCCCTAGACGCGCTTTATAGGGCGCCCTAGACGCATTTAATATACCTATCTCACTTGACGCACTTCATTTACCTATATTATGTCACATATATATTAATATATACCAAATTACAGACCTCACTCGGAAAGGCCGCCAACACATCACTCTCATTATCTTTATCACAAAGATCACTATTATTAATCTATATCTGATTACATTAATGCACTTACTACACCCAAACACAATATAAATCAAACCCATTGATAATTAACGCCAAGGTTGGGCGTTATATCCAATATATATCCATATCCATATTTAACCTCATGAGCCTGATACTGAATCTTGGCTAAGAGAAAAGGTTCCCCACCTTCCTCATTCATGTCAATCAATCAATCAATGCACTGACGTGCGTGACATTATTGCACTAAACTGTTACCTTAATACAGTGTAAATATTAGATAGGAATTTAGATTTTAATATTGAATAAAATATATGAATATGTTTATTTTTAATTATTATGATTTAATACAGCGGTCATTAGGCTCACGCTCGACAAACAAGGTATTCGGAGAAGAATACTTATTCGGTATTCTTCTATTCCTTTCAAGTATTCCAAGAACACCTTACAGGTCAGATACTTCAAAAGTTTATGAAAATCCTTCTTATACTCATGTTCAAGACGAGTACAGTCACTGTTTTCTTGATAATCATGAATTAAAATGAAAGAAAGACACCTGTCGATAAATTGTGTTGCTCTGTCTTCCTTATTCTTTATCTTTAGTAATATTCTTAAAGCTCATCAACAAACCTACAGCCAAAACATAGGTCTAGGACCAATAAAATTCTAGCCTTTGTACAAGTACCTGCTGGCAAAAGATTCTTCTTGCTTCTCAAAGACCAGTAAATTCGCAAAGGTTTCAAAATCTTCCTGTCGAAGTAGTGTCTCCACCATCTGGTGATCAAATCTAATGCTTGATATTTGTTGGTTGCTGAAGCAAACTTGAAATGTGTCTTGAGAACATATACTATGATTATTAAGATCAGATGTCATTTAATTCTACTCCGTGACTTACTATATATGTAAGGGTATCTGCACTGATAAAAAATAAGTTTGTTTTCGCTATTATAAGTTTGAAAGTTACGACAGCCTTTGTACTATTAATAGGGGTCATTATATAGGAAAAATTTTTGGTAGCCACTGCTTTAATATAGAAAATAATTTACGTGTTCACTGTCCCTCAACTTTATCCGACGTTCACTGCAAAACTGAATAATATTTACGCAAGTTTTTACTCATCGCCGATATATTCATGAGATTACAACCACCGACCGTTCATCATCGATCATCTCGGGGGCGGGGGGAGGGGGTTACCTACACTTCAAGGTCGGTAACGATTACCGCGCTGTCTTGGTTACCCTCGCACACACACAGAGAAATTGAGGGGAGACTTCGTCCAAATACCGATGCACTTCGAGCCCTTGAGTTCGTTAGATTGACCCAGTTTTTCCAGCAAGAAGACCTATCAGTTCTACATGCTGGGAGTGTGACACAATATGATCTGCAGTGCAGGATTACAAGTTGAAAATTTTAATTGTTTTCAGCGCAAATGCGCAAGACTACTTGAAATTATATTAAAAAAGGCTCAATAATAATTTGGTCTCTTCTGGTGCTAAGAGATTCAGAAATCTATTCATTTTTTTTTACTTCTTGAATTAGGAGATCAATCCGATGTTATATATTCCGGCAATTCGATGTTATATATTCGGGGATCTCACATTCGGAGATCTCTGATATATTTAGCTTCCATAGATCTATTTATTGCGATATGTTACAGAGATCTTGAATTTATAGATCTATTCTTGACAATACATCCTACTACCTATATGATATTCAGATCTCTGCACCAGATACCTGGGTTCCAGAGATATATTTCATGCGATCTTTTACAGAGATCTTGGATCCAGAGATTTTCGAGAAGATCGCCGTGGGTCTTTGCCGGTTTTTCCGAGGCAGTTTTTTTCAGTTCAAACAGCAGCGCCTGGCGCTGGGGGCTTTTTCCACCCTTGCAGGAGCTGAGGATATATTGCAGTCCCCGTTGAAAATTCCCTGGTTATGACCCTATGGATATTTGCGAGGATTATCCGATAAATATTCTAGACTGCTACTCTTACTTTCCGCGTACAACCTTTAATGAATAGTGTACTAATTTTTCTGTGTGTATTATGTTAATCTTGATTCTAGATTTAAAAAGCCGGTGTTTATTAGGCCGTTCGTTTGGTTTCAGTGAAGAGATGAATCGATGTACGTTACACGTGGGTGTCAGTCCTTCCCTCACTTCCCGTATTTTCTACCCTCACTTCCCGTATTTTCTGCCTTCACTTCCCATATTTCCTGCCCTCATTTCCTGTATTTCCTGCCCTCACTTCCTGTATTTCCTGCCCTCACTTCCCGTATTTTCTGCCCTCTCCCTCATTTATCCTGCCCTCAATCTAGAATCACAAATTATAAGTCACAAATTAATACAATGAAAGCACAGAACGAAATTAAAAACCTAAATTTGCAAATAATAGACGGAGCACAAAAAAAAAACTATTCACAAGTTGAATAGATAGTTTCAACTAACAGTTGAATTCAAACTGGGCCTAAGTTAAATATGTACAAAGATTAGGCCCAGTTTGAATTCAACTGTTAGTTCCTATCCCCTTGAAGTTGTGAAAAAATAGTTTTTTTTGTGCTCCGTCTATTGTAAATTTAGGTTTTTTATTTCGTTCTGTGCTTTCATTGTATTAATTTGTGACTTGTAATTTGTGATTCTAGATTCTACGAACTAACGATGGAGCTGGTCTCCGTAACATTTTCTGTAAAGATATGAATTTTTGTGGACTATTCTTTGCTTTTAAATTTTTAGTTAATTTGTGATTTAAGCAAACGAGTGACATCAATATTTGTCTTTTTAAAATATTTTGGTTAGGATTAATTAACTACCATCTTATTTTCATGTATTGTAAATATTATTAAATTCCTTCCGAATAAAAGAAATAATTTCAAAGAATTGGTTTAAATTTCTCAATTTTATTATCGCACGGGCACGTTTGAGGCTGAGCGTAGCTCCGTATTTGTAGGTTCTTATTAGCACCTCTCCGTTGGAATGGTCCAAGTTTGGCCCTATATTTACCCTTAAGACAAACCAATCATAAGTTTTGTTCTTTGCAGGTTATTTTATAGTTAATGCCGGCTTACAGGCTGTGCTGAGATGACCCTTTCTATGAGGGGTGTAAAGTGCACACTTTGCCGTGCCTCGTTAAATAAAGTTTAAGTTTTTACTTGCTAACAAACATGATGTTTTTGTCGTGTCAGGAAATGACGCTCCTCTTGACGCACATACGCCCAAGTGTCAACGTTAGTGTTGATTAGTGCAGCTGATAGTGGTTGTAACTACAGCTGCTAGTGTTGATAAATGCAGCTGCTAGTGTTGATAAATGCAGCTGCTAGTGTTGGTAAGTGCAGCTGCTAGTGTTGGTAAGTGCAGCTGCTAGTGTTAATAAGTGCAGTTGCTTGTGTTGATGCTTATTGTTCAGCTGTATCAATGAATTTATTCTGAAATAATTTTATCGCGCGAAATATTAACCATGAACGGCGTTACTTGAAACCTGTCTTGAACTTTTACACTCTTGTCTTGAACATTTTCACTCCACTGACTTGAACATGTACGCTCTCGTCTTGATTATGTAGGCTCCTGTCTTAGACATGTACATCGCAACGACGTTCCCCTCCAAGATGAGATGGAACGCTAACACTCAAGCGACAAACGTGAAGCACAGAAAAGCGATGGAGTGATTATCAGTGATCTATTTTATTTGAAAACTTTGTGAGTGATTTTCTACATGTTAACATCTGCCCAAAATCTGCCTCTCACGAAGCAACTCGTGATCGCACTAAGGTGTACTAATGTGTCAGTCAAGTTTGTGCTCAGAAAAGTTGTGCTGCATTTGAGACTGTGAGATAATAGTGTTAGTTTATTAACTTATACACACCTATCACTTCTATCACTAGCTCTAGTTAGCCTAGTCATAGACAGCATGAGTGGCTCTTCATGTCAATCTTCGCGTGGCCTGTGAATATTTATTCATTTGGTTGGTAACGGCCATTGTTTTGCTATTTGAAGTAGCCTATCAACAGAATTATTTAAGATCTCCGATGACATATCTTCTATTTTTTACTGTATGGTGTCTGAAGCTCTCTTACAGACGCTAAACTTTTCTTATCATATCATGACTCCGCCTAACATGACTATATCATATCATGTCTCCTCTTAACATGCCTAAATCATATCATGACTCCGCCTAACATGTCTATACCATATCGTGGCATATCACTTACACGCAAGATCTCAGTGTGACATCGTTCGTCAGCTACTGCGACACTGATGTACCAGTACGGAGAAATGTACAGTAACGTGATGTTGAAAACTACACGGAACATGTCTTCTGTTTCAGCGTATTCCTCTCACTACAACACAGTTCATAAACAAGGAGCAATTCTAAGCGCGTGTGGTGTTTAAATTAACATCACTAGCGTGTTTCAACGTCTCTTTGACGTCCACCTCGTCGACGAAGATGACGTCACATGCACGTGACGGTGCTGGAACACGTCTCACGTCAACGTCTCATCTGGCCTGCCTGTCTCGTGGACGATCAGATATGCTGATGCTGCTGGTGCTGGTGCTGATCGTTCTGTTGACGTCCCACGTTACTTTGTGCACAGGATCAGAATTTCCAGACAGAGAATGTTGTGACTCAGCACCACCGCCTCCACCTTTCTACCACACCACCACGTCCACCACACCCGTGCCCCCTTTAACTCGCCGCAACCAATTCAACCAACTTGATACCACCCTAGCGCCGGTACCTGCAGTTGGAGGTGGTGGTAGGGAG